AAGACTGCTGATTTGGATTTGCGTTATTTTCAATTTGAAAAAATTTTTTTCACAGTTTTGTTTAAACTGCTGTATTTTTTAAAGTGTGCGACTTAAAGCGAAACGAAATTCAGTTCACACATCTATAAACGATTCTTAATAAGACTGCTGATTTGGATTTGCGTTATTTTCAATTTGAAAAAATTTATTTTTCACAGTTTTGTTTAAACTGCTGTATTTTTTAAAGTGTGCGACTTAAAGCGAAACGAAATTCAGTTCACACATCTATAAACGATTCTTAATAAGACTGCTGATTTGGATTTGCGTTATTTTCAATTTGAAAAAATTTATTTTTGACAGTTTTGTTTAAACTGCTGTATTTTTTAAAGTGTGCGACTTAAAGCGAAACGAAATTCAGTTCACACATCTATAAACGATTCTTAATAAGACTGCTGATTTGGATTTGCGTTATTTTCAATTTGAAAAAATTCATTTTTGACAGTTTTGTTTAAACTGCTGTATTTTTTAAAGTGTGCGACTTAAAGCGAAACGAAATTCAGTTCACACATCTATAAACGATTCTTAATAAGACTGCTGATTTGGATTTGCGTTATTTTCAATTTGAAAAAATTTATTTTTGACAGTTTTGTTTAAACTGCTGTATTTTTTAAAGTGTGCGACTTAAAGCAAACGAAATTCATTTCACACATCTATAAACGATTCTTAATAAGACTGCTGATTTGGATTTGCGTTATTTTCAATTTGAAAAAATTTTTTTTGACAGTTTTGTTTAAACTGCTGTATTTTTTAAAGTGTGCGACTTAAAGCGAAACGAAATTCATTTCACACATCTATAAACGATTCTTAATAAGACTGCTGATTTGGATTTGCGTTATTTTCAATTTGAAAAAATTTATTTTTCACAGTTTTGTTTAAACTGCTGTATTTTTTAAAGTGTGCGACTTAAAGCGAAACGAAATTCAGTTCACACATCTATAAACGATTCTTAATAAGACTGCTGATTTGGATTTGCGTTATTTTCAATTTGAAAAAATTCATTTTTGACAGTTTTGTTTAAACTGCTGTATTTTTTAAAGTGTGCGACTTAAAGCGAAACGAAATTCAGTTCACACATCTATAAACGATTCTTAATAAGACTGCTGATTTGGATTTGCGTTATTTTCAATTTGGAAAAATTCATTTTTGACAGTTTTGTTTAAACTGCTGTATTTTTTAAAGTGTGCGACTTAAAGCAAAACGAAATTCAGTTCACACATCTATAAACAATTCTTAATAAGACTGCTGATTTGGATTTGCGTTATTTTCAATTTGAAAAAATTTATTTTTCACAGTTTTGTTTAAACTGCTGTATTTTTTAAAGTGTGCGACTTAAAGCGAAACGAAATTCATTTCACACATCTATAAACGATTCTTAATAAGACTGCTGATTTGGATTTGCGTTATTTTCAATTTGAAAAAATTTATTTTTCACAGTTTTGTTTAAACTGCTGTATTTTTTAAAGTGTGCGACTTAAAGCAAAACGAAATTCAGTTCACACATCTATAAACTATTCTTAATAAGACTGCTGATTTGGATTTGCGTTATTTTCAATTTGGGGAAAAACTTGAACTTTTGATTTTTTTACTTACGACGCGAGCGATCGACGTACTATCATTTTCGGTATTAAAAAAATTAATTCATTATAGTCAGTTGTCAGATTCACATTAATATATATTAAAAACACATTTTCAAGTGCGTTCAAATCTTTAAACGAAGATAGATCGATTACGATGTGCAAGCGAAAAATTTAAAAAGTGACAAGCTTTAAGATATGTCAAATATACATGCTCAGTCGTGTTTAGAATCGTTTCTTGTGGTTCGGGACATTTGCCTTCGAATGTTGCATCGATGTATAAAGCAGAATTTAATAATCTTGAAGTTTGAAAAAATGCGCATCGTATCGGTGAGATTTATCAGTTTTTAATTAACTTATGGGTAATAATTTTGTAAAATCTCTGATTTTTCTAAAGCTTTACAATATAGAGTGTTTAGTATTATCTTGATTAGCAAAAATTTCTTATATTCTAGTTAAAAATTAAAGAATGACTATGTTTCAAATATTTTTTAATTTATTTAATATATTTAAAATTGTAATTGTACAAGAAACTTTAAGAACAGGAAATTATACATAACAATGATTAATACCAATAACTACTCTTTGGAATACGATCATCTTTAATACCCATTTCATCCATGATGTCCATCTCAAAAGTCTTTAATGTTGGCTACAAATATAAAAGACATATTTATTATGTATAATTTATATTATATTATATAATATAGTATATATTTGTATATATAATTCATATGTAAAAGTTAAATCAATATTTGAAATTATTGCAACATTTTTTTAATTCATGTTACACACCATAAAGTTATTCTTTCTGCATCCGCTTTAATTGTATCTTTTGGTTGTTCTTTGTATAAGTGAGGAGCCTTGTAATCTATTGTTTCCTCACTCGTGACAGGAATAGGAATTACTCTACCAGTTCTTAAAGATATGCGAACTTTTTTGCCATCTTCTGTGTATCGCCATTCTATTGGAGTTCCTTGCCTATAATGATTCAGTTTACATTATAAAATATTTTAATCATGTTTTCGTAAAACAAGTTCTTTGAATAAAAGATACTCACATGTCTGAAGGATCAACCAACTGCACCTGTGAAGTTACTAATAATGGTTGTTCTTGCTGCGTATAAAAACCAGGGAATTGTTTGTCTTGCATAACACGTTTCAGTTTTGTATTAAGTCCTTCGACAATTATCCAATTCCTTTCTTGATAGATTTCTTTTACGATTCCTTGCTTTCCTTTATCCTTTCCAACTAAAATTTCTACCTATAAAGTTATAGACATTAATTTGATTGTATAAAATGCTATAAGTTGCATTAAAATAATATTAATTATTCTATTAAAGTACTACAGTTTTCCAAATAAATTTACGTACCCTATCACCTCTAAAAAAACTCCAGTCCTTAATAAGCTCGACATGAATGAATTTATGTCTCTGACCAGGTTGATTGTAACGATGAAACTGATTAGTCCATGGACGATATATAGAGAAACGAAAATCTTTCTTTTCAATCGTACGTGGCAAATAATTTGGCTTACCACGAGGCGTTCTCCAATAAACCTAATTATAGTTTCATTAATAATATGCTGTTTATCTTTTCATAAACAATTAGATAATTGTGCATACCTGTGCCATAGCTCGTTCAATATAACTATCAGGTAAATTTGAATATTTCTTTGACCATTCTCCAACACGTCTCAATAAAGTAGATGTTAATCTCATAATTGGTATCCTTTTTTAAATTCTTTCTTAAAATAATATAAAAGAATATATACTTTTATTTTGAGATAACTGCCTGCAAAATAAGTACAATTTATGTACTTGGTTATGTCAAGGTACTCGTTATAAAATATGTAATTATGAATGCACAACTCGTACAAATATTTTAGAAAATATTTGATTATAATTTTTAGAGATATTTATGCGGTGCATTAACAAATATATATACGAACATTCGATATAAAAGTCACTAAAACGAACAAACTAGTGACAACTTTTTTATCAGCTTTGTGCTTGCCTTCAACTGGCGCCAACTATAAAAACGTTGAAGAACAATTGTTGAATAATAAAATAAGTTTTGTGTAAAAACACTGCTAAGTGCACATAAACAATATTTAGTGTCATTAATACAGTGACGCATTGTAAAGAATTTTGAATAAATCTTTACAGACTAAATATAAACAAGAGTGATATAACTGCTCTATAGAAAATAGGTTAGGAAAATATCTCGAACTCCGAGGTTTTGATGCTTGATTTAGAAGATTTTTGAAGATCTTATGCAAGTTGCAATGATAGTCCCGGCAATAAGGAAAAGTGTGCCGTACAATTTACGACGAATTACTGCATACGTTACTTATAGAAACAAAACGAGGACAAAGATCCCACGATATTGCAATGAATCAACTCTACTGTCTACATCGCTTCCAAATTTTGCTTCCTGTAGAACTTACAGCACCGAATCTGATTCTCAACCGCGGATCTTCTTACCTATGCTCGTGGACGGGGCTGCTACACACTTACCGTCTCTTATAACTCCATTGAAGCTTCTCTATTTATCAGTCTTTAGGATTACTCCACACATAGATAAAGAATTTGACGTAGTTGAGTTTCTTAAAGGAGCCAGATATGTATGATTCTTCTAATTTTGGTTTGAAATGATTTAAAAAAATATGTAAAACTATTATTTATATATTAATAGGTATATTATTATGTGTATTTTTAGGCAACGATAATAATATCTAAAGCTTTAACAAATAAAGATTATGAATCTTTACAAGGCCTCGTAACAGAAGATATGATAGAGATTTTAAGGAACAAAATCGAGACTCTTACTCCTAATCAAAGACAACTAATTGCAGTAAATGATGATGACATGTTGTTTTATATTTTATCTGATATTGCGGCTACAGTAGGTAGGAACCGTTTAGTATTTACTATTAAATTATATTATATTCTCTTAAAATGACATGAAATATATATTTCATTTCTCACAGGTGAGGAGCATTCCATTAAAATCACAATAATTTGTCATTATATCCAAGGTCTTGCTGAGAAAAAAAATAGAATGATGAGTGGAATCATAGATTTTACTAAATCAACAGAACATTTAGTATGTAATTATACATTTATTCGTAAGTATGTAAATAATATTGGAGGTCCATGGATTGCATCTTTTGTAAATCATTACACTGTGTCATAAAGATATTTGTTGAATATAAAAGTTTGAAATAAAAAATTGTGCTACTCTATTTAATTATTAATGATATTAGAAAATTTTGTAAATACTCTAGTCGTCTTTCTATAATAATTATTATATTTAATAAAAAATTAAAGTAATCAAATAAAATCGTATACATTAAAAAATTTTTCATAAATAAAGAAATAATATAAATTATATTTTATACACATATGCATTCAATTATATATATATTAGTTTTGGAGTCTTTTCAATATTGGTGGAATATATTGTTGAATATGTAATTTGTGTAGATAAGTAATTCCATTTTTGGAAATGCTTATAATCAAAGGTCCCTGCAAAATGAAATATTTTATAATATTAATGCTAACATATTTACCTTACATAAATGATAAAATTTACATGTACACTGTACCTGACATATTTGTGGATTAAATATGTAACATTTCCCGTGTTCGTTACACGACAAATTATTCGACTTTATAGTTGCAGAAGTAAAAAAACTTAGTTTTAGATCTCCCGAGTAATGCACTGAAACCTTCAATACATTTAAATAAGAATTCATTAACGAGACTGTAATCTTGGCAGTAATATCAATTTCACTTAATCTTATTTCAAAAGATTTCTTTGAAAAGGCCATTAACTCATTTAAATTATTTAGCATAGGTGATGGATTTCCTGCAATAATATCATACCATATAATGTATGATGATTTAAAAATAGTTCTTTGAGGATATATACAATTTTTTTTTTGTATAATTACTTTCACTTTGAATTGCATCAGTGAGACGGAAGTGTTTAGTAGTATTTGTTGAATACATTGGAATTTGATTGCGCTCTGTTCCCTTTAACACTTTATCTATTGCTGTAAATATAAATTAACAAAATTTATATTAGGAGATACAGGAATTATATGTATAAACTATGTATATAAATTCTTTTTGTGTCTTACATTTTCCTACTTCTTCAAATACTTTTATGATTGGGATATTTTGAGTAATATAATTGCTTAGATGCATTGCATATAATCCAGACTGAGAACTTTCTCTTTCATAACTAGGACAATAACTAGACGTGGAATATGCTTGGACTAAATTTCGAAGATTTTTCCGACTTTTATAGTTTATATTTGTTTCTAGTATTTCTGGTATTTCATTATAAATATCAGGATTACATTCTCTAAAAAATAATATTTAATATAATGGATTTTTAAATACTCAACTGTACTTAACTATTCATTTGCTTTAGCTTGAAATTTTTTATATACACATACATATGTAATTCCAGAAATTCTTACCTTTGTGGTACAGTTTGACACATATCCAATATTGTTACTAAAAGAGTAGGATCTTTTTGTTGTAACATAGCTAACAATTCATTTTCACAAATTGAATCCTTCCTTAAGAAAGATTCTGGTGTGTCAACAGCAAGCATGTGACTTTCTTGCATTTTAAAGCCATGCCCACAATAGTAAAACAATCCTATATTGATACCAAATTTTAATAAGTACATTATATAAGTACATTATATTTTGATGCAACATATCTATAACAAGTTACCATAGACTCCTTTTGTTAAAACTTCACTAAATATTTTTATAGCATTCCTCATCTGTTCAAGTGATAAATTTAAAAAGCAGATTACTTTAAAATCTATCTTCTTCAACCGATTATGAATTCTCATAGCATCATATCTAGGTTTCATTAAACATTGAAGATTTTCATATTCATCATTTGCAATGATTAAAGCTATTTTTGCAATTGCCTTTTCACGAGGAGAGTGAACCTATAAATATATTAAAATATTTTTTAATGATTTATAATTTTATGTATGTATATAGTTTTTTATATTAATAGTAAAGTTTTATAAGAATAATTAATAATTTATAATATTTATAAGATTACTACACATAGAATATTAAATAATTAGGGTATATTTACCAGTACAAGAGTTTTTTTAGTAATTACTTCACTCATGCTATTACTTATATGACAGTAATACTGTCCTCCAACATTGAAATTAGATTGTTTTATCTGGAATAGGACTTTTTGTCATGAAAATTACAATTTTCTAGTATTAGTTAATATCATGTACTTACATGCAATACATTTGATGTTTTCCCTCTAACATTGTATTGTCTTTGAACCATTGGTAACATGGTTTAGGATGGCTGCGTGCCTTACATTTAATTATAAGGTCCTCATTCTCTTCAATCTCTAATAAAATGGGTGGTTGCTGTTGCATACATACAGGTATATAAGGTATAGTCACAAAAACTGACTCTGTTCGCAGTACAGAATTTAATGCCTCTTCATCTTCATCTTCACCTTCAATAACTTGTGAAATTTTACAATTATATTCTCCAGCATCTTCACAACTGTAAATAATTATATATAACAATTCATCTATTGTCACACATTTTTGCATGGGCAATATTTTTTTACCTATTTATAGTGATATCAAGTTTAGGCTTCTTCTGACCACGCAGCTTAATATTATTATGATACTTGAATTATTATGATACCATTGATAACTCAGAAGTGTGCCAACAGCTTGCAAGAAAGATGAAGTTTTTCACCAATAGCCAATTGTAATGTACTACATACCATATCATCAGACGGATGTTTAACAATTATTATTGGCTCTAACACATAATATTAAACAATGTTATATTACAAGTAAAAAATTATGAATCTTAAAATATTCTGTAATGCTATGTATATACGTATGTGTGTATATATAAGCGTATATATTAAAAATATAAGAAATTCAACCAATCGAATTTCGTATGCATATGCTTATGCGCTTATGCAAGAGTGTGTGCTCCCCTGTTTTATACAGTATTTCAGCGTCAAAAGGCGTTCGCGTGACTAAAAATCACCAATTCGTCAATTTTAATCACTCGAGCGTTTTAGCTAATATATTTCCTATATATGTACCAACTGAACACATTTTTTTGTATGCTGTATTGCATCGAATATATTTTACCAGCTCACCAATACAGATCCATATATCCATAGCGTGACATACAACATATATGTGTTACGCAAAAATTTCCGGATATATCCTAATATTTATTCCTATTCCTACTATTTTTTCTATTGTGCTCAGAGTTGTATATCCAAACAGTTGATTGGTCGATTTTAACTGAAAGCTACCGATTCTTATTGAACATCCAATCAGAATACAAGGAATATCGACGACTAGGAATTCTACGTCGCCTCGTTAGCTCGAGCACAAATATTCTAGCGCTCTTCTTCGCGGAATGCGAGTGCGGTGGGGCACTCTCCGACCAATCGGCCCGCGAAATTTGTGGAGCCTGCGCGATGTGCGCGGCGCGCTACGCCGCATGATCTTGCGTATCAGTGTTCGCCAGTGCCATCGAGAAGGCACACGCAGCGATTTTACGCGGGTTAACAAAGCGCGTTTACAGTCCGTGAGCGAGATTTCGCGAGCGGTGGTGCGGTACCAACGAACGGGTGAAAGAAAACGAAAAGAGGCGAAACTGTAAGAGGGAACGAGAGCGTCGACGAGGGTGGTGGTCGGGGCTGTTGCTTAGTGGGTAGCGGCGGTGGTGGTGGTGGTTGGCGGTGGTGGTGTCGGTGGTGGTGGTGGTGGTTGCTCCGGGTTCCGCGAGTGTCCGCGAAAAACTAGTGCCGCGAGCCATCATGGCGAACCCACGGAAATTCAGTGAAAAGATCGCGTTGCTGAACCAGAGGAGGCGCAGGACTCGGCGGCGTTCGAGGGATCATGAAGGAGGTGTCGGACGTCACAAGCAGAGTAAGGAAACGCTAGTGGTCCTTTTGGCGCGCGCGAAAGGG